TTTCATTTAACACTTTCTTATTTCTTTTAGAAGTATCGCTATAATATGAAGTAATCTTCTGAGGTTATATAATTATTAAAAATAAAAGAAATATAACAGTACATATATAAATACATTTTTTTTTCAATTGGCACTGCAGACCATGAATATTTTTGGCTGCGAGATGTGATCTCCTTATGGACGTACACTGGATGTGGGAATTGATAGTATAGAGGGAGTCACCCAACCTTATGTTGCTACACACCATGGTGCAGCAACAGGCCACCTGTAGCTCCATAGCCCATCCCTTTGCGGCCAATCTGGCAGTGTCCTTCCGACTCACTCAGATTCAAGGACAGTTACAAATCGTTCTAAATCCATGGATTGTGGCTGCTCAGAGTCAGCAGCATATTTCTTTCCCTGAAACAGACCGTCCAAGGACCAAACCTCTGACACTTCAGGAGAGCTCCTAACATCCTGGTAAACCACACTCTGATTCTGAACATAGGCCTGGTCATATATATATATATATATATATATATATATATATATATATATATATATATATATATATATTCTAGTTACTTTAGAAGACTGGCTATACCAGACAAAAAAAATACTACTAACAGAATTGGAGAATGAATATGAAAGGAAAAAATGAAAAATGACAGAAATAAAACCTAATAGCGACAAATGGCTCCCGAGTTACAGAAGTTTAAGTAGAGAAGAAATTATGGTTTGCCAACTAAGGATAGGACACTGACAGTTTACACATGGTTACCTTCTGAGAAGACTTGAATAGCTCACTTGTGAAAAATGTAATAACGTTCCACAAACAGTGAAACACTTAATGGAAGAATGTCCTCAATTTGAAAATTACACACAAAAAACAGGCTTAGCAAAAACATTAAGAGAGGTCCTTCAAGATACTGAAGAAAAAATCAATACTTTGTTTAAATTTTTAAAGGTAACATAGTATTATAGAAGAATATAAATTGTAGTAAAATGCCAATGACCCTTGAGGGTAGAGGAGCGAAATAGATAAAAAAACAATATATATAAATATAAATGTAGAAAAATTACATTTATTTGTTTATTAGGCAGAGATTAGAGTGTACCATAATCAGCATTCAGTCAAAACCTAATTTTAAAAAATAACATATAAAATTAACCTATTCATATTTATTTGATGTACAGAACATTTAAATAGAACATAAATAAGATCGTGGATATGACAAATAACAGAGAAAGAACACACCTTGGGTTCAGAATAAATCTGCAACTAACAGCTTCCAAATGGTTAGAATCCGGAACAAATGCATTTTGTCAGCTACAGGTGACTAATGAATGCGCCAATCAAGCCACAAGTCAAATGGTGAAGGCGGGACTTGCCCCTACCTCTTTAAGTGGTGACAACCAAGGTGGGAAGGCATATATCCCGGCAGCACCAGTGACCCAACTCACTGCCGGGAAGGCACATACCCCGCCTTCACCAGGAACTCAACTCAAACGGGAAGGGGCATGTATGCCGTCTGCAGTCAAAGAATTAAAAAGTGTTTGTATTAAGGTATCATCTTGGTATCAATGTTTAAGATTAAAATCCTTTCATTTTGTGCTTACTGTAAATTACAACTAATTACTAATTAATTACAATTACAATATTCATAATATCTAATTTGTTTAAATAAAACATCAGTCATAAGGATTTTGTTCTTAATAATTACTAAAATTAGACTTCTTCATTTAGTAGGATTGGTTGTTAATGAAAAGAAAAAAACAAAATTACTCTAAAAAATTCTCAATCTTTTTATACTATAACTTTTGATTGATCTTTGTGTTGTGGGACTGCTTGAAACTTGGAATTCATGGTATTAATTTTTTTATAATTTTTTTTTTATTGAGTTAATGATATGGAATGAACTTACTAGTCATGACAGATAAAAAGGCAATGCCTGAGAATAGTTAACTTTACAAAAATTAATGACATGAAAGTTAAAGTTTTGTATTCACAAGACACGTCTCTGAATGAATATTATTTTTTTTCAGAGGTCCTCAATAATTTTTAATTGAATTTTGAATGAAAAAAAGAAAATTGGCCAGTCTATCAACTGCTTCCTTCAGTGCCACATGCCACGACCTGATGAAGATCTGCTGATGGGATTGAAACTTCAGCATAACAATAAAATATAATATTTTTTAAAAGTTTAAGTATTTATTTGACTGCACCACCTGACTAACTCCTCAGGAAAAGAGAATACAATTTTTGTCTCTTCAATTTATTAATTTAAAGCTCAAACTTTTTTTTGAACAAGGTATATAATCTTCATTTGCCATTTTAATGTGATAAATTTATACAAATAAATATAATTTTGTTAAGGTCGTTTTTCTTTGATTTGCTAGATGCATTAGAAACCGGCAATTCATATATTCAAACACGACAGAAAGACTTTCAATAATAATTTCATTCTAATTTACTTTAATTTGTCCATTTAAGCTGGATGATTATAAGGAAATTTTTTGTCTAGATTATTGGTTTTCTTAAGTTTGATGGTTGTATTTTACATAAGCTATATTAGAAATATCTGAACATGATGAATGTTGTAAACAATATTTTGAATGTCTTAATATGTTATGTTTTCTATTCCTTTTTTTTTTTTTTTTTTTTTTTTTTTTTTTTTTTTTTTTTTTTTTTTTTTTTTTTTTTTTTTTTTTTTTTTTTTTTTTTTTTTTTTACAAAATAAACTAGATAAATCATATTTTATATTTCCTTATTTTAACTGTAATTTATGAATATTTTTACACCTTATGTTTTCACGCCTCTATAAATATCCTCTTGGAGTTTGTTAACTCCAAATTTTCTGTAACATTTAATATATTACAAATATTCATGACTAATATTCTTTTGTGGGTTCAAATTACCCATGGTTCTCCCATTATGCAAATTTTTTATAGGTAAACATTATAATGATGCATTATCACACTGCCATAGACCCTTTTTGGATTATTACTTATATTAAAAAAGTAACTTATTATTTTCTTAATATTTTTTACCGATTAGTAAATTCAATAAAATAATCACACTTAGTTTATCCGATTGATCTTTACTCCCTTCTTCATCTGCCCAAAACTTCCATTGGAGTCCTATACTGAATCAACCAGTGTTGCTGCCTTTATTGTTATATATGTTTCTGCTTTATGAATTATTAATACTAATAAAATACACACCTCATTTATACAATTAATAAATAATACTGAATAATTGTCACCTAAAATTTCTTGTAACATTAAATAAAAATACTTTTCACTCATCTAAGTATACATTTCGATAAGTAACATATTCTAAAATTTTTACTCAAACATCTTAAAAGTTATCATTAAAAACCAAGTGTATGTGTAAAGTTTACATGGGAAATATGATACCCAAAAATTATTGAATGTCTAGTAGGCCCGTTTCGAAAAATTTGCACAGCATATTGTAATCAAATACCAAATTAATAAGAAAATAAAATAATGCAACGTACCAAAGCATAAGAAATCAATTGTTACTTTATCGATAAATATTATCGACAAGGGAAACAAAAATTAATTTAAATCTTCATTAATGTTTGGAATTAACATGTTTACAAATTTCAATAAACTGTACTAAGTTGGACTATTTTGCCCAGCTGAAGAAGAAGGAAGCCTTCGAAATTGGTGGCTCAATTTTGAGATTTGGTGAAGAATTAACGATGATATGGCTTGCCGATCAAAAACACCATCAATAAATAATATAAACTCCTCCTCTCTCGATCATAGAGGCATCAAGTCGACAAAATGAGACATATATTCAACTACATTACTACAATTAATGTAAGGTTGTGTGGATGCGAATCCTATGTCTTGCCTTATCTCGAAAATATTACATTTTTGGGGTTAAACGCAGGATCTGATAGTTCTGAGGGAACTATCTGGGTCTTGCTGTAAGCATCAAAATCTTCAATGTCCAATTTGTCCCGTATCGATCTACAGACCTACCACGGTTCCAGTATAGAAGCCTAGCAAAATGTTTGTATCGACTTTATTTATTTTAGAAAGAAAAACAAAAGTGGAGAATACGATTCGCTAACCACCCGTGAAATTCCTAATCCAACGGTACCCCATTCATGGTATTTGAGCATGACAGAATCCTACATTTGGTTCAAAACCAATTATGAGCCTTACTATAATAATATATGTGGGGATTGTAAATATCTGTGTCAAGGAGATGGTCCAGCAATCAGTCAGAAAAAACCATCAAATAACTGCAATTTATTTAGTAGTTATATGATGCTTTTTCTAACTGACCGCTGGACCACATTCTAGATTTATCATTTGGTCAACCACTAATACATATATTGTAAATATGTACAGGTTTTTTTGTTAGTTAAATTATAATTGGAAAATTCAGGTTTATTTATCTTGCAGAGAAATAGTCTAATCACACTACATTTAAGCATATTATAACTGTGAACCCAATCCAAATTTATCCTTGAAATGAAAACCATAGGATGAATTATAATATATTTTTCAAAGTAAGTTGTAAGTATGAATGATTCATGTAATACCAATGAAAAACAAGATTATTAATAACTTAAATTCTATTGATTAAAAATTTTTAAGGAATCTGAATATATAACACTATTTTTTAAAAGGAATTATTGATTAATTGGTTTAAAGTTAATTTAAAACATTTATTGAATATATAAAATATATAAATCTTTACATAATTTTTACAAAATATTACACATTTTACTTATATATTACATATATTACATTACTAAATTACATATTCTATAACTTCATCAATATAATCTTTGATTATGTCAAGACATATTATTTCAACACTTTACTTTAAACTAATTATGGAGCTTAAAGTGGTGATACTAGTAAATTATATCCACATATCGGTCTTTATTTTAATTTATTAGTTTATTTAAAAATTAACATAAACATATAATAATGTTGTCCATACTTAGATTAATACTTTCATTCCACATGAAATGTTCATAATTATTTAAATAAATTTTTTCTGTTAGTAATTATTTTAGCTCTAGTCAAAAAATTGTTAGATGTTTGTTTATTTCTCTTAAGCTAACCTGCAAGAAGCTCTAACTTTTATAGTTTATAAATAATCATTTTGTTATAATGCTATTATATTTTGAAATAAAGTAACTTTAACATCTATTTGTTATTTTTTAAATTAAATTTTAACATTATCTTAACTTTAATTGATTTTAATATAAATTACAAAATTAGAATTAAATGGGCATATAACATACAAGCACCAAAACAACTTATTAATCAATTTTTATACCACGAATTAAAAACTTAATTTTTTCATGTAATACGTGAATTACATGCACAAAATTAAGTTTTTAATTTATTAAAATTAAGACTTATGCAAGTTTAATAATCAAAATTAGATCCCTTTTTGGCCACTGTTGTCATTACTGTGTATTTATGAACTGCTTCTTGTTTTTCATTAATTTCTAGCAGACCCATTTCAATCAAAAAATTTTGACAATCTTGAAGAAATTCCTCTCCTTTATCCTTAGGCAGCCTCTTTTTGAATGGATTTATTGATTCAAAGTATTCTGAAACATTGAATTGTTCGATTCACTATATAATAAAATTAGCTTTTTAGTGTTATCAACTTTAAACATACGGGTTTTATCTTATGTACTATTTTGGGTTTGTCAGGCCCCACAATAATTCAGGAAACTAATTAACTCCAGGTAAGAAAATGATGTGTAATAAGTTTGTTAGAAATCTCGACCTTTCCAATCTGGTTGGAATAGGTTTGGTTGTACCTCTAGAACCACCCCTTGTATTCCTGAGATAGTAGGGATTAATTGAAATAAAAATTGTAAGTATATAATCGATTTAGTAAACTGATGGCTCATGTGATCGGCATCTTTAGAGAAAAACATCTTATTGAAAGAGGTTAATATCTCAAACTAAATATAGATTAAAATAAAATAATTAAATATGAATGTTTTTATCTTATTATTTTAATATTCTATGCCCTCCGAGGCGTCTGAAAAGAAGATGACCCCGTGATCTCCTAATGTAAACATATCATTAGAGTGCTACCATTGGGTAGTTACTCAGCAAGTGTTTTCATGTCCATTATATACATTATGTTCCAGTTCCAATGTCTTTAAGAAATAAAAAAAAAATATTGTATGCAATTAGCACCTTCACAGTAGCGCATATAGAAAATTTGATTATTTGCTGCAAATTGGCTTGATTTACTTGATTTGCTTTAATTTTGTTATTATTGAAGTAGTAGGCCTCTTAGCTATTTTCCTTTTAATCTGTGTCGAGTAAAAGTTTAATCTGTGTTATGCTAAAAGTGAGGAGAAAATTTATTATGATTATGTCCATCTAAGGTGGATGGTAAGTGCAGTTTTATTTTATAACATATACTATTATCTTAACATAGTACATAATAGGCTCTTGTGGCAGACACTATCAAAGGCTTTTTCAATGTCAAAGAAGATTGCAGAGCAATATTCCTTTTTCTCAAAAGCAACTAAGATAGCATCCACTATCCACTGTTACACAGTGGAGTGATGTGAGTGAAGGCTAAACTGGTGATCTGGAGTCAGTTCACTACTTTCTAGGATGATAGGAATGTTATTTATAATTCAATGCATCCTTAATTTTATTTAATATGAATAAGCTTAATTCCAGAATAAACAGCAAAATAGGGCTAAGACATACTGATATATATATATATATATATATATATATATATATATATATTAAATATTAAGATGCTATCAGGGTAAATTGTTAGTTTACATTGTCAATATTAATTAAAACACAATATTTATGCCATTAAAATTAGTGTTTTCAATAATATAAATATTACTCAAGTTGGGTTGTTAAGTAATTGAAAAAGAACATGTAACTAACCTATGAATGCTTTGGTTGAAGGATGAACAAAACTGGTTTCTCTTGTAATGCATTTGATAACTTGAAATCCAGTTTCTTTTAATATTTGAATATATTCTTCTTTTGGATCCCTTCTTGAGTTATGAAAAGCATCCCAAGTCTTCCAAATCTATAATAAAGAAGAATATCAATTAGCTGTGAAGTATAAAATTGTTTATAAAAATAGTAATTAAACTGACATATTGAAATATTATTTAATTAATACTAATAAAATTTTAATTTGTTGTTTCAATGATTTTCAGTTGTTCAGGAAAAGTGATAAATTATCAGTTAAATATCAGTTTTCACTTTTGAAGAATTATTAAAGTTTATCATAAGTATATCACATAATTTATTTAGTTTTAAAACCACTTTTGATATATTAATTTTAATTTCAGTTCAATTTGCATCTGTTGGATGATTTTTAAAAGTTTTGATATGTTTTTGTTTATTGAGATGATTAGTTTTGTGACCAGTTTTGATGATTAGTGTGATTAGTTTTTTTTTTAACAAAAAAAAGAGTATATATATATATATATATATATATATATATATATATATATATATATATATATATATATATATATATATATATATATATATATATATTGTTATTATTTTAAACTATAAATAAATAAATTGATGGATTGATAAGGAATTGCCAAAGAAATCATCAATGAATATTTAAATAATATTATTTTTCTTCATATGAACTTCCTGAGATGTTTAGGTTTGGTATGATCCTGGTTGATATAAGTATATCAATATAGCTTCTAAAGAATGGCCCTCCCTTCCTATGCCCCGTTTCAAGAATGGTTCCTTATAAGTATTTTTATTTTGGTCCCTTCTTCTTAAAAATACTACAAGTGAAAGTTGAATTATAAAAATTGTAGTTTATGTACAATTACAATAGTTGTGGTTTGTTGCATGTACTTTTCTTGTTTCCTGCTTTGAAAGTTCTCCCTTATCGAAACCTGTCTAAAAAAATCAAGGCTCTTCGAAAATAAACCCTCCTGAGAACTTTTGATTGTGCACTTTGCGTTTAGGGACCCTTTTCTGTACACTGCTGTAACACTATATTGTTCTCTGTACTATTTCTTATTGCTAAAAACAGTATTGTATCAAACTGAAAGTGTATTTTGTTGCCTTAAATTTGAAATATTAAAAGGTAGTTTATCTTAAATTTTCAAATACCTTTGTATATGGTTGCCATTTAGGATTCTCCTTAAGCCTGCTAAATAATATAAGGAATGGATGAGATATGGTAAACATGGTGACAAAGTAACCACCATCTTTCAACAAACTATAAATGTTTTCAGCAGCTTGCCTAAAATTTTATTAAAATAAATAGTAAAATTTATTCATTTTTATTATTGTATAATGTAGTGTAAATTAAATAGCTCTTACATTTGATCTTTGACCCAGTGCAAGCAGTAAAATGAAAATACTTTATCAAAAATTTCCTCTTCCCAGTTCATCCAGATGTTTCCATTGCTGATATCAAGCTGTTTGAAACAAAATTGATCGTTTCCATATTTTGCCTGAGCATATTTAACCATTGCTTCAGAAATATCACAACCAACCTATGGAATTAAATATATCATTATGATTTGTCAATTTATTTCTATAGTTCAGTCTGTAAAATACTTACTACTCGATAGTCATTAGCCAGATAAGAAGTGAGTAGAGAGGTTGTTAGGTCACCAGGTCCACAGCCTACATCAAGTACATTTTCCCCAATAGACCATGGTAATAGGTCTTTCACCTCTTCTAAGACCTCTTGTGCATCACGTTTTTGCAATGCGTTTACATTGGTATACAACTCTGGATTATTCATTGTTTATTACTCTGCAAAGTACATAACAATTCATCATCATTAATGAAGTTCAATATTGTTTTAATTTTTACATTCTCCTTTTTGAAACTTATGTAATAAAATAAATAATAAAAAAAACAACTGTATCACTGCTACTTATGTTCTTGATTTTGGTACTTATAATTAGAAAGTATTGTTTCATGAACAGTTATATAGGGGGAAAACAACTCCACATTTAATCTAAACAATCATAGTGCCCCAAATGAGTCTTCCATCTCAAGAGTTTAGCCAACATCATTTCATTAGAAAATAAATTTTTCTTTAACAATCAAATTCACATTTACACCAAGAAGTGGGAAGTCCAGGAGTTCACCGAGGGATTTATTCCACTGTTATCAATAAAAAACTTATTTATAAAGGTAATACAAATAAGTGTGAAGAAATTAAGTTTTTGTTAAAATTGAAAAAATAATTCATTTACTTTATTATATCAATATAGTATAATGAAATAAAATGCAAGTGCAACTTATGAATTATTTTTATTTTATAGTAAGGACTTAATAGACTAGGATTAGATGTATGGGTAAAAGGCGTGCATACACTCAATGTTTGTTTAAAATTTGGAGTTATAACTTAATGGATCCAATTGAGGTGCTAAGGTAATCCTCTTCCTAGGCGAGGTCTTTCATCCTACAAGAGAAAACTAACCAGATATCAAGTCTCCACTGCTCATGAACCAAATGAACTTCCAAGATAGTATTCAGAATGTTAAGGATTATCTGAAGGTTCAATTCCTTACAACAGGGATTCTTTACCCTGTGTCCGTGGAAACATATTTTATCTTAAAGTTGTTTAAATTTGGCAGCAACCAAGTCTTGAAATAATGAAAAATGATTTTAAAAAGTAACAAAAAACTAAAAGATTGCCATAATTTAAGGCTAACTTGGACATAGAAAGGGAATACTTAGACTCATCTATATTTCTCAATATGAAAATAAAGATATAAATCACAATCTCTACAAAAAGGCAGCAGCAAATAATAAGTTCTGAGCACTATATTTCTGCAAACTTTTTATCAGTTTGTCTCCAAGTGACCTAGGGTGCAACTTGTCCCAAGTTCTTTATTTTTTTAAATATTGTTAGTGGGATATTAACACTATTTTTCACATCTTCAATTGTGCCTACACCAATAAAAGTTTGAGAACTTCTTAGAGAGTATAAATAAGCTGACAAGCTATTTCTAAATGACAACTATACATTCCATCAATAAATGTTAATAGAAATTATTCAAAGAAAAACTATAATAAATTAAGGAGGGGATACCAAAACAACAAAAGAGTATTTGTATGAACACCATTAAACAACGAAACGAAAATCCAATGAAGATGAGTTAGAAATTCTCAAAAAATATCAAATCCGTAGCCTTACTAAGAGAGCTTCTAGGGTCATAATAAATTCAACTCAGTTCATAATTACTTAGGAGGCCAGCATTGGATAAAAGGAATTACAAAATGAAAAGACATATTATTATTTAGTTTATATATATATATATATATATATATATATATATATATATATATATATATATATATTGGTATTTTATGTTTATTGTAAATGTTTAAATTGAAGATTAATACGGTGAGAGATCTACGAATGTTCTAAGGTGGGCGCACTTGCAAAATAGGTGAATCCAATATACCAAAGGTATATATATTTGTCTATATACAAACTATATGGGTGTGTATGTGTGTATATATAAAATGAGTATTTTAGTTTTTTTTTTTTATCTTGTCCTCTATTTTCCATAATATGGCGGTCTAAATTTCTTAACTGGATAATTGTCATATATAAACCTAAAACATGACATTTTTGCATAATTTTTTCCTGTTTCTTCTCTCCAAAATTCATTGGAAAATAGTTTCCAGGAAATTAGAGCACTCTAGCTACAATATTCAGTTATTTTGCAAATTTTAAATTTAAATATTCAAACATTTTAAATTATTTGTTTTAAAAAATTCACTTTAAATTTAAATAATAATATTAATAATTAAAGTGCCAGTTGCTTAATTACATTTTCAAGATAAAATTTTTCTCACCTTCCCTCCCTCCCCTGGATCCGCTAGTGGTTAATTATGGGCTGTTTGTGACACAATTCTGCACTTATAAGAAGACGATGCAGTATGTGGATTACAGATTTCTACCAATTTATTTTTTTGGTGATAAAACATCGAAAAATATTGGACACATGTCCTGTTGTTATTTCCAATGGATTATAAGAGCCAAGACAAAAAATATTTTACATAATTTCAAACAAAATTTATGTTATTTATTAATGGCTTTACTTTGCTCAGATTTTTAGGTTATATATGTTTATTTATTTTTTTTAAGCCTGATATAAAAAAATATAAACTACTATTTTAAATGATTTATAATGTATCATAAATTACAAAAACCAAAAGTTGATTCCAGTAAAATATTCCAATTAAATTTTGCAAGATTATGAAAAAGCAAATTAGATTCCTTTTAAAATGCTTAAATACGAATTGTTATATAAATAAAAAAAATTACAACCTAAAGTATTGATTTTCTTGGATGAACTTTTTTTTCGTTTATAAACTAAAGCAATCATAACTCCGTAGTTTTTTTTTTTTTTTTTCAACATTAATATAACCATTGAAAAGTAAAATTGATACTCTTCTAACTGACACCAATAACTTTTGGGCTTCTTTTTTTTTTTTCAAATTAGAAAGTAAAAAAACTTCTAACTCATTTTTATTTTATATTAAAGATATGTTAAGATAAAGATAAAACTAAAGGTATTCATTTATTTACAAAGGCTGGGTTTATAGAAGTTTTTGTAACACACAAAGGAGTCCTGAATTCTTATAAATTTTCATGGAGAAGCCGTTCTAAAGTTTTCACAAGTTTTATGATTGTCGAAAACATTTCGAAAGGTTCTGCCTAGAAAAAATTTTGAAGAAAAAAATTATAATTTTCCGATTGCTATAAAAATCTATATTTAAGGGTTTCTAGAGGTGCAAAAAAGGAATATCAACTTTATAATTCATTTAAAACAATAGTTAATATTTTTTTCTTATTCTGCACCAAAAAACAAAATGCTTAATATATAGTAAGCTAAATATCCGGACAAGGCAAAGGAAAAAATAAATAACATAAATTTTGTTCAAAATAACATACATTTTATTTTCTTGGCTCCTAGGGCCCATTAGAAAGAAGGCCATTTTATGCCTAATATTTTTCAATGTAGTATCACAAAAATAATTAGTTGATTATTTTGATTAATCTGTGATTCACAGACTGTATCCTCTCCTTGTTAGAATGGTACCATAGAATAGGTTATCTTTACATTTTGAAAATGTATCTCATTACAATGTTTTTAGAAATAAAAACATAACATTTCTCAGAACCTTCTGAATTCTTTCCAGTAGGACTTAACTCTCTGCTGATGCAACTAATTCGTGATATATAGCCTCATATTATTTCTAATTTATTACTTTATTGATTGTATTTTTTGGTTCAAATTTATTCTGACCTTCTATTCTCAGATTATTCCAAGCTTCATTATAATTCAAAATAAATGATGACTTAAATATGGATTTATTATTTTCTTTTATTTATTTTCTTGACGTATTGACATATATGACTTGTATGTGTTATGATGCAGTGGTGTGATAAGAACTATTACTAGTAAGGGAGACTAATACTTTAATGAACAGAGACAGTGATGGGTGCTAGTGGCTACATGATAACAGTGCAGCAATAATTTATATTCCCAACAGTATGGTTGATTGCTAAATGCTTCGTGCTTCAATAATATTGATGCTATCTTTGGATATGAATTATTTTTCTTTCATTTTCCATTTTATATAGACTGATACTTAATATTTATCAGTCAGAGCCAGCATATTTTTATTTATCTGTCTTAATTTGATGATGAAAGCTTAAAAAAAATGCTCACCTAATTGTGTATTAAGCTGGAATTTATTTATATTAATTTTGTTTGAATAATCCTAATTCAAACGGAACAAGTTAAATTATCACGCAGGCATATTTTATTCAAAGAATCAGCTAATAAAAAGGGATAACTCTAAATTTGAATATATATCAAAATAATTAAAAAAAAAACCCTGCAAAATGTTTAACATTGATAGAATAAATTTCTGACCTGTTGGTCTGGCTTCTTAGTAGCTTTGTGTTATTTACTTTTTGGTAAATATTTATTTTAATCTTACTATAAAAATATCAAAATTGGATGTATAAAAAAAAAAAAAAAAAACTGAAATAGAACTTTCCATTTTTGCTAGTAGTAACCTCATGCAATCATATACAATAAAAAAAATTAAGTAAAATGTTTTGTTTATCATATTAAATTTCAATTGCATATTGATTTTTAATTAATCATTCAAGGTATATTAGTACCTTAATAAATATTAATTCAATTTCATATTTTTAAATGATTTTATTTATATATGTATATTTAATTCACTGTGTGCAATGCTTATTTACTAAGGTAATTTTATTAAAAGTAACCAAAGGCATAATAAAAAAAAGTCTTTGGTAAAAAATGAAAAAATGACTACTGGCTTTTGATGCTTCATAAAGAACATAAAAAAAATTAAAATTAGTTCTGTAATTAACCTCATGTGTAATTTTTTTTTCTCTGCAGGATAATGATAATTTCGCTTTTGTTTAATGAAATTCAAGATTTCGCCCAGCATAAATGTGACCTTATTTTGTTATTTACTTCAGCGCATAGTTATGTTTTCAAATTAGTAGATTAAACTGTTCAGTTTAAAAAAAAAATATATTAATAACTGATCAACACAAAACCATTTTTTTTAAATGATGAAAATTATTCTTTGACAGTTGCTTTATAGGTAATATAACATTTAACCATATTGGTCATGAGAAAAAATCATAATTTTTTTATAAATTCTAAAAATTGAATTTTGATTTTTTGGTATAATCACGAAATGCTGTTTTGTTTAAAAAAAAAAAATCAATTCAATATTCATTACAAGTAATTTTTTAATTTTCAATTTAAAAAAAAAGACCACTTACAATCTTGGACTCTGGACTGGACTCAGAAAAACTGAACACTACCGATCCTGGATAAATAGGAGTTCTTACTACCTAGTATATATATCCTTGATTTATATTGAGAAGTTAACAAAAAAATGTTATATAGTTAAAGAAATCCATTTTGTAAGATGATATAATATCCTGCACTTAAATTACTTAGTCATCAAAAACATAGAATCAGTAGCTGGTCCAAAACTTAATTTTGGGGGATAGCACTTTTTTTTTTCTAATAACAGAAATTACTCTAAAAGAGAGAGAAAATGACTATATAAAATAATGTTTAAGTTGTATTTGAAAGCTAGTAAAAATAACAAAATACTAGTTTACAATAATGCTTTTAGAGTTTTAAGGTTATTAATTGATATTTTCTTTCTGACATGGGGTCGGATTTAGAGGCTGAAATGCATGTGTTATAATTTAAAGAGAATACATATTCTGATTGTTTAACTATTTAGATGAGATCACTCACAAAAAGAAATAGGACAAAAAAAAAAAAAAAAAAAAATAATTTCCCATTTTGGAGAGGCTTAAAGCCCGAAAGCCCCTTTCCCTCCTGGATCTAACAATGCATAGAATTGATAATACCGGCACTATCTAAATTGATCATAGATATTTTCGGTTTCCATTATGAAATATTAATTGTTATAATATAGGAATGATTTTGACACGATTTCATTACACGATTTCATTCTTCGATTTTGCATCCTTTATTATATATAACGATATTTGAGCTCTGTTATTACTGTATAAAAAAAATATATGAACAAAGTATCATTCACAACAATTATGAACAAGTGGTATAAAGATTTGGATTTACCTCGTTTCTGGCGTGGGAAGGCGTGATGGTTTAGGATTGCACGATGCGACCCTAGTGAGAAATGCCATGACGGGGATGTTATATAGTCGTCCATTATCGCTGTACGCTGACAAGGGGTCAGAAGATATTTGGCGACCAAGGTTGTTGTCTACAGCTTTCAACAAATCTGCAAGCCGATTAAATGTTTTTTTCTACACTTACGTAAATATAAATAAATAAAATATTGATTTATGAACAAACTAAAAGATTGATCACGGTTTGAATGATATTCTTCAACTCGGTTTTCGGAATTGTCCTAAGCTCTAATATAATAATGTACGTTTGCACATGCAGATACCTGCTACAAATAGTTAAAAGTAACGGGTTTTATTTTTTTATGGTGTCACAATTCCTGACAGGACATGGGGGTTTTCGCGCCAAGCTTCATGGCTTTGGAAAATAACTTAACTCCCTATATCTCTGTTGTGGTGTTCCGAAAACTGCTGAAGATGTCGTCACGACTTTCACCGCTTTTGAAGCAATAAGTGCCAAACTACTGAGAGAACCCGGGCTCTACATCATCACGGAGGACGATTTCTCTCAGTTAATGAGGAGGTACAAGGGCGGATCTACGGGAGGGAGGGCTTTGGGGCTGAAGCCCTCCTCCCCCAAAATGGTAAAATATAACCATGTTTCATGGAAAAAATTATCTCTTAAAGTATTATTGTTAGTGTAATTATATTTAAAAGGACTTTAGGGTTCACTTAAACACCATTTCATATAGGTAGTTAGTTTCTTTTTTTTCCAAAGTAATTATCGTTATTTTTATGAAAAAAAAGCTTTCAGGCTGAAGCCCCCCCCTTAAATTAAATCCTGGATCCTCTAGTGAGTAGGCATAACTACCCGTACTACGAAGCATTCGTATACAGGTGGAAGGAATTAGTCGGGGATAATCACTTCAAACTCTGCTAACGAAGACTGAAGAACCTGAAAATAAGTGGTAAAAGTACCAACTACTTCTACCAGTACTATGTGCACTGCAGAGAGGCAAGGGAAGAATAAAATAAAAAATAAAGGGTTTTATTTTTAAAGTCATTCCAAAAACTTATAACTAATTACTTTAACGATTTTTCAAATAACATATATTTTTTAACCCATGCGCACATAAATTTATTTTTTTCACTTTGTGATGTAAATATAAGGGAAATCGTATCCTTGTAAATAGCTATTGCATTACTAAAAAAATATATGTATTTTTTTTAATACATGATATTAGTGAAGATATGTTTCTTCTTGGATTATTATTTCTTTAAAAATTAAACTTTATATAATTAACAAAATTTAAATATAATTATTTAATTGGGAATAAGATCAGTTATTGACATGAGTGACCTTAAATTTAATACTCAAAGGTCGATTAAAGAAAAATTGTAAATATAATTAACAAAATATTATTTATTTATCCAAAAAATAAGGACTACAAAAATAAACATATGCATTTAAAGAGAATAACTAAACACGTCGGTAAAGGTTAAATTGGTAAATTGACGTCTATGGATATTTTAATTTTGTGTAGCTGTCGAGTGCCTTCCACTACACATCACGACTCCAGCCACTTAGTTTTCGTCCCATGTTCCGGTACTTGTCAAAATCCGGAAGAGGCTTAAGTATCGTTTAAGGGTTGAAGGCACTCTACTCCACCAAGCTAAAAAATTCGTATACATCAATTTCCCTACAAATTTACCAAGGTGTTTAATTAGATATACAACAACATAAATCTCACCTCGTAGAGCCTACAACTTACGAGACGACCCTCAATTGGGGCTATCTTATGTATATTGTTATATCTATATATGATCTTCCATATAATTTATTTTTCACAAGAGAAAGAGTTGTGCTCAAAAAGCCGAAGTAAACACTTCAACTCTTAGGAATATTAAAACCTTATTTAATATTCAAATTGTATTGCGATGCAGTAATATTTCTTTAAGCCTTCATCAAGAAGCTTTTAAACCACATACTCACATAAAATTATTTTTCGTAAAAATTGGTTTAGGTCCTAAACGCCATATATATGTTCATGTTCAAAAATTAACAGACAGATCAAGTTTTAATGTTAAATGCCCATCTCAGTAGCTAAGATTCTTTCTACAGTTAATAAAATATTTTAAAATTTTTGAAGAATGGAATTTTTGTCGTTTACTAATTTATTTAGGGAATTCCACCACTACGGCCATTTTCACTGTAGCCTCAAGTTGCTTTCTATATTTTATTATGAATGTTTGTAGTAATTATAACAATATGCTTGCTGTAGGTGCATAAACTATCTATGTGCCTCATGAGCTATAAATTTAGTGGGCTAAGTATATTCATTTCAATCACTCAGACAGTAGAGACTCAGCGAGCTAAAAGAAAATTTATATAATGTGAAAATCGAATTTATATTTATAAAATATTTGTGGGTGTTTCCTAAAATTTTATTTATGTAGACGTCTTTCTGTAGAGATTCATGCTCGGCTCAATGAATTCTTTCTACATCAATCTAGAGCTGTTGGCTGCCAACTAATAATTCGGTGAATAGTCGCAATGCTCTTCGGTAAAAGAAGTGTGTCATTCCGCGGATGTCGTGTTTATAAATTATTTAATGATGTAATTCTCCGAAGCCTGGACCACATATCCTGTCCAGTCAATTTTAAGGGTTAGTCTTTCTTTTTTGTTTTTAAAAATTTTTATATTTATTGTCAATTTAGATACCTTTTGGTGGGTTAGATCTCTGCTTCAATCAGAAGTAAAATTCCATATTTTATATTAGCTCCATTTAAGAAATGATGTTATCGACATTATGGCAGATGAAAGTATTTAGAGTAGAATTGAAAATAATTTTATTCTGGAACGACAAAAAAGTACAAAATTAAAATATTATAACTGGCCAAATAAAAACAAACATAAAAAGTAAAAATAAAGAGGAATAAGCAAAGAAAATATTAGTTAAACATACTATATACAAGATAAAAAAAATCGATATAAAAAACTCTTGAAATCATGCCAAGGCACAATTATGTACAGTGGTAAAATATAAATATACACATTTAGAAAAAATAAATAAAAAAATACATTACATTCTTCTTAGCAATAAACTTTGTATTTCTGTTGAAAAAAGAAAAGAAAAAAGAAAGTCGAATCTGATAGTAAGTATTTAAGTGATGACTTATATGTAAATACATCATTATGAATAATATTTATGATGATAATTTCGAATACACTCAATTGGAACATAAAAAAATACTCCATTTATTCAACGGTCAGAAAAATAAATGCCTCGACTAAAAATGAAAATAACAGGCGATAATTTGAATTTTTTTTAAGCGCTATGATTGTGTATCGAAATGTTCCTTACTTTTTCTATTACATTGGGTGTAACTCAATTAAATATTTTCAATCACTTTTTGTTTTTTTATAGTTGGACCGCTGTATTTTCATTTGTAGCTCTTGGTATTTCCTTTTGTATATCTTCCAACTAACATTGGCATATTTCAACAGATCCAATAAAATAGCAGTAATTTTTTTGTCACTATAAGTTTATAGTTATTATTTAGAATAGAACAACATATGCCGTTTGTTCAGGAATATACACCTCAATATATATTCTAGGGGTTAGAATTGGTGCTATACCTGATCGTTTGTCAAAACTTAGCTAACTAAGGTTCAATGAACAAAAGTTTATGTTCCATAGCTGAGCCCTGTTCAATTTGTGCGTTTAATTAGTTATATCCAAACTAAGTGATCTAAAATACATTTAACGTGGTTGGAAAAATGGCATAATTTATATTTTACCTAAAATCTGTCTATTGAACCGACATCTATCTAGGGACAGATTATCTCAATATTTTTATGTTACTTAGTAAGTTAAACAACTTCGCCAAATAAAATAAGTATAAAGATCCAACATTAAAAAGTTATATATGGTTTCATTCCATTTTTATAGATTTTTACGCAACCTACCAAGATGTTTAAGTAGATATTGAAGTACATTCCCTCAGAGTAAATAGGATTTCTCGATTTCTTTAGTCTTTTTTTTTTAAATTAAAATATTTTCCAATATACCTAAGAATTTTGGCTATTATTATTTTTATAATATTCTTAATTAATGATATTTTAATATGTTTAATAATTATATTATATTTATTAAAATATTCATTGGCAATACTATTTAGATGCTATGTTCCTGACCTCGCGTTTCTACGGCGAGTAGGGGGTTCCAGGAACCGCATTTATAATATTTTTATTATAATATTATAGAAATATTTTATTCCGTATGTTCAACTAAACTCGTTATCATTTGGTTTCCGACACTATTTTTTCCTTTTCGTTTCCTAACACCTAAGATATAATTTTAAATTATAGTCTATTACAGAGAGGATGAAATTATGAATAATTTCCTCGTGTATAGGCATATGCAGGCCCAATTTTTAGTTTCTGTAATATTTATATCCATATGTAAAAACATTTCAAACATTCGACTCTAGCCGACTTTACACGAGGGTTAACGTTTCGGAAATCTGATGAATCAATCTAATTTAATCTTCACAAAAAAGTGAAAAACGCTCCTAAAGAAGTTTTCACTTCAAACATTATCCAATTGAAAGAGTTCTTCATTGTTAAAACCATTTAAAGAGTACTTCTGATTGGATAGATTAAGTTAAGTTCTGGTTTAAAAAAAAATCAATATTAGCATGCAATGGTTTGTGACAAAAAAGGCATGGATATAACATAGTACACGGCTTTGAAAAACATGTGATAATCAATTGTTTTAAATAATATTTTGTACCCTGTTTAATTTTTACTTACACACCTCTTAACCTGATAATGGCTTCAAAGACATTCTAAATAATAATTATATGGATGTGTTTGAAACTATTAAAATTCACTCTTTCATTAAGCTAAAAAATATTAATTTTTTTTTCTCTTTAACTTTTTATCCGCACCTGTCATGGTATTGACAATCAGCAGATGCGTTGCGATGATGAGGATTGGCATTATAGGCACGAGGAAGGATATCTATCACCCAGCAGCA